GTAGCCAACTTTAGGTTACACTCATCATATTTTACAAAGCAATCGGTATATCACTTGGATCATATTATTCAGGGATTCACACCGCATATGCTACATATTAATATTAAGTCGCTTGGTTGACTACAATTATCGAAACCACTCGGTGCATCTAGTCGATGCACCTGACTTTATTTTTTCAGCCCTCCACAGTCTTCTGATTTGGAAAAAGTACTCGGGAGATCATGGCGAAGATGATTGAAGCACTCGGCTTTGGAGTAATCTAGTTCGAGAAAAGATTATCTTTCCGACTGTGAAGGTCTCAGGGGCTACTGTGGAGATTATGGGTACCCCATACCCACACGGCATGGTTATCCGACTAGTTATAGGGGATAACTTATATATATAAAATATGTAACAGATCATGACTTGGGTATTACGTTTCCCTGTATATTATGGAACGGCCTAAAGTCCTGGTTTGATAAGATTGTAAAGTAGATTTAGGAAACCGATACCGTATTGGTTAAGGTTTCTATCTTATAACCCTGCCCCCCAACCTATATAAGGAGGGCAGGGAGCTCCCTCTAGGGGCATGAGACAACTAGATCGTCAGATCTATACTACACCCGGCGGATTCAAATCCCCAAACAGGAGTAGGGTATTACCTCTCATCGAGAGGGCCTGAACCTGTCTAAATCCTTTGTCTCCACATCCATCCACTTTTAGGTCTCGTGCGCTACCCCGTTTTATTATTGCCGAATTCATGTTTCGACAATTAGTGAAAAAATTACTGAAAATTGAAGCATTTGTAAAGTAACAATGTTGCCACATACACACCTTAAATAATTATAATTTTTTAAAAAATATTTATGAGGAGAGAAATTTGGAAGAGAAAAAAGCAGGAAAAGGAGAAAAAGGAGATTGGAAGGATCAGGATGTCCCGGATTAAAGAAATAGAGAAAAAGAAAAAAAAAGGGAAGGAAAAAAAAGATATTAATCGGGAGAGGGGTAAATGACGCTGAGTGGAGGCATGCGGGATGAGAAGGCGGGATGGTATGGGCCGGTTTGTTTGGACTAGAAGGTGTATAATAGTTATTTTAAACTCACATCGAATAAGATACGGGCAACTTATAACCAACTCAAACACCGGCACCAAAATTTCAGCACAAAAATCTTCAATTTTTTATTTTTTTACAATATAGTATAAATAAACACCAGTTTTCTTAAAAAACTGACACAAATAAAAAAAGCTACAGATGTTGGTTTCTTTATTTACCTGACACAAATTTGGAGCAACCACGTGCAAAAAAAAAAAAAAACAGCGCGGAGTAAAAAAAATCAACTCCTGAGCGCCCGTTCATGTCTCGCTTGCCTCGTTATCCCTCCCTTATATCTCGCATCTCTCGACCTCGTCGTTGCCTTCATCTCTCTCGAACGTTAATAAGAGTCAGTTGTTAGGAAAGTGTGTTTAGTGTTCAATCGGGACTTATGTTTTTTCCTTTTATCTTTAAAGAAGTTTAAGTTGTGTCCAATAAGGACTAGTATCTGACGATCGACTCTTTGATCTTCAATTCATACATCTGGTTAGTTGAAGGATCAAACTGACTGGCACTCTCGCATCTCATTTTAGGACCTGTACTGGAGCTAAGAAGATCTCCCAAGTCATTGTATTCATCGACTTAGTTCGCGCTAACACATATCTGGCACCATCGGCCAAACACGGATTATTCGTCAATAGTCACCTACTATTAAACTATTGTTTAATGTGCATCCACGTTTGCTAGTTATGGGATGGCCTTGTATTTTGGTAGGCCAGGAAAGAATGAATTAGTCTAAGCGGGAACTACCTATTTACTTGTATTTTATTGGGGTAGTTTGGGCATCTAAGTTTGTCCAATTCAATGGTATAGTGCCTCCTGGGGGAACGGACGTGTTCGTAGCCGCGATGTTAGGTTTAAGGCGTGGGCACGCCACCTAACGACTCTAGGTCATTCCTAGGGTGGATCCACACTTGCTGTGCTGGTGCAAGGCTAGGAATTAAGTAATGTAAAGACTACTTTGTGACCTCTAAACCACATTGAACATATAGAGTGTGGTGGTACTGATGGGTACAAGACAAATTAGAGCGATTCACATCATGTGGTTAATGCTGTACAAATTTTTTAGAGTCTAAAATTAATCGATTAGTTGTGCTCATGGTTATGAGCGACATAGTATGTGTGCCATAAGTATAGTTCTATGTTTTCAAATATGTTTGAAAATGGATATAGGATTGGGATCCATGACTTATGATAAATATGATGTTGATTATGATGACTTGCTATCATGGAAGGATGGTGCAAGCATGGAGATGATAATTATGTTGACAAAATTATTTAAGTTGATCACAATGTTTTACATTATGTACATGTCCTTCAAATGCTTTATAAAACCTCCGTGCAAACTGTTTGTGAACTAAAACTTGCTTTTATGCTGAAAATATGAGACCACAAACAACCATTCTTTGCTTAGAGCTTGTATTTATTTAGGTTTAATTGTGGCCTTGCCAGTATATTAACTTGTTTGTGAACTCTTGCCATGTATATTTAAATTTGTTTTGCAGGTGACTTAGTTTATTTTGAGTGGTCGGGAATCGTTGTTGTTTTGTATTTGATTCCATTAGGGCAGCGTTTGGCTAATGGGATGGGGAAATCATTTCCCACACATCAAAAGGCATCTTTAAATCCTAACCATTCATTCTCTCTCTTCCATTTAATCCTAACCCTTCATTCATTTCCCAATCTCAATCCCACCCTCCATTTCCCATTATCCAAACACACCCTAGGGGTTTACCCTTAGTTGGCTTACTCGTGGGTTGGGCATGTAAGCTTCCGCGAACCCGGTTGGCCTATGTATGTCTAAAGTATATGTAATTTGAATTTTAGTTCTTGTATATGTCTTATTTCCTATTTATCATTGCTTTCGATGACAGCATGAGACTAGTCCTTATCCTGGGAAGTAGTCTAACACGAGTATGGATTTTGAGCAATTGAGATGTTATTGAGCTTAGCAATTTGAGTAAGTTTCCCGAGATGTATAACACAGTTGGTTGCCGCCTTCGTGTGGTTTGACGGGCACATGTATCAGGCTGAAGTTGACTGGCACGCTGAGTCCCATCAATATTTCGTTTGCTCATTATTCGAGATTTGCGGATTTTGTATTAAATGGTGTAAAGTTCTGATCATGGACACATTGAGATTTGAGTGGCTATTTTTGTGTGTATGGATCTCACTATTCAAAATCACGTGGTGGTCACATGGATGGTTTAAATTCGGCATGTCCACATATATGAAATACATATATGGATCTATGTATAAATCTATTAAAATATAAAATATTTCATAATGTGAAACGGAGAAAGTATGAAAAAACTCACTACTACAATACTCATTTTTCCGGGTGGTTGGATCTATTATCCCATGCGGTCGCTCGGCCTGCCTGCAGCTCCTCGTTTGGGAAAATCGATATTTTCGCGTGCGGGCGGGCCGACCGCACGGGATAATCATTTTCGCGTGCGGTCGGGTTAGGTGGACCGTACAGAATAATCGGTTATCCCGTGCGGTCAAAATTATACCGCTCGCACGGAAAAAAAACAAAAAATAAAAATAAAAAAGCGAAAATCACCGCGGGCGCCGCCACGACCAGCCACGGCTGCCCGGTCGCCTCGACCAGCCACGGCTGGCAGGCGCGCGCGCACGCGGAGCCAGCGGTGCAGCCTCGTCGTGGCGCCCGCCGCCATCTGCGCCCGCCGCGCGTGCACGTAGAGCCGGCGGCGCCGCCTCGTCGTCGTCGTCGTCGCGCGCGCCCGCCGCCGAGCCTCGTGGGGCCCTGCCGCCGTCCGCGCCCGCCGCGCGTGCACGTGGAGCCGGCGGTGCCGCCTCCTCCTCGTCGTCGTCGTCGTCGCGCCCGCTGCCGTTCACGCCAGCCGCGCGTGCACGCCGAGCCGGCGGCGCCGCCTCATCGTGGCGCCCGCCGCCGTCTGCGCCCGCCGCGCGTGCACGCAGAGCCGGCGGCACCGCCTCGTCGTCGTCGCGTGCGCCCGCCGCCGAGCCGCGCGGGGCCCCGCCGCCGTCCGCGCCCGCCGCACGTGCACGCGGCGCCGCCTGCTCGTCGTTGTCGTGGCCCCCGCCATCGTCCGCGCCTGCCTCCACGACGACCACCACCCCCCACCGCCGCCACACAGCCGGCGGCCACCACCCTATCCCCGTGACTCCACCGCCACACTAGCTAGCTGCTGCTTGGACTTGGAGCACACAGAGCAAGGGTAGTAGAGATGCGGCTGATGCTTCTCGAGTTCATTCAAAAGCAGAGGAGAAAAAGAAATGGAGAAGATGCGGCTGATGCTTCTTGTGAAAGGAAAGATGTGAAGTAAAGATGCTGCGTGCGCGCAGAGAGAAATAGCTGTGTTTAGTTCAGCGCGAAGTTTGGATTTTGGTTGAAATTGGAGATGATGTGACTGAAAAGTTGTGTGTGTATGACAGGTTGATGTGATGAAAAAAAACTGAAGTTTGGATCCAAACTCTGGATCTAAATACAGCCATAGAGAGAGAGGGGTGAGGATGAGAAAAAGAGGAAGAAAGAGGAGAGGGGAGGGGAGGAGATCGAGGAGACTAAATGGGGAGAGAGAATAAAAAAGAAGAGGGAGAGTGTGTAAAAAATTTGAAATGGGTGAGAGAGAAGAGAGAGAGTATTTTTCCGTACGGTTCACTTAAAAAGTCCGCACGCGAAAATTGATTTTTTCGTGCGGTCCTCTAAAGTCGACTGCACGGGATAATAAGGATTATCCTGTGCGGTCGGGTTAGGACGCCCGCACGGGAAAATGCATTTTTCCGTGCGGGCGATAGTCCGGCGCCGGTCCCCTCATTTTTTCTGTGCACTTCGAGTTATGGCCTGCCTGGAACCAAAAGTGCCGGGCGTCCAAAAAACTCTTGTCCGTAGTAGTGACTTATTGTCATCAAAGTATTTCTTTACAGCACACATATATGTACTTTCTAAAAGTAATACTGTCATGAAAACGGCATAGTAAAATATAACAAACACTGATAATAATTTATCACATGAATCGCATATTACACCACGCCGTACTACTTTTTCACCAGACGCTAACACGGTTATCGGCTCAATTTATGTCTCTTTAGTTTATTAGGCAACGGGGTAAGAGGGTTGCATGGCGAGGCCGCAAAGGCCGGTGTTGGACGCGACATCCCGCGCGATCTTCATATATCCTCCCTCGCCCCAGTCGGTTCCCCACGAGTTCTTCATTAGCCAGTACTTGGTGCCGTGCTCGTCGGTGCCGTACCCCACCGCCGTCATGGCATGGTTGAGGTCAGTGGTGCACGTCTCATTTTGCATCGCGCCAAACACTCCGCTGCTGAAGAACTGGGACACCTTGCCCACGCCGTCGAGTGCCACGGACACAGGCTGGTGGGCGACGGCCAGCAGGAGGGCGGTCTCGTTGTTCGGAGGGACATACTGGAAGCCTCTGATGGAGGCCGCCACCGGTTTCCCTGAGGCGCGGCAGGTGCCCAGCGCGCGGTCTTCGTAGGGGTAGTCTGACTCGGCGGCGATGCCGCCGTTGCTGGTGATGTAGCGGAACGCTTCGTCCATGTCGCCGCGGTTGCAGCCATGGTTGTTCCTCCCGGTGGAGCAGTCCAACAGTTGCTGCGTCGAGAGGGCAACCAGATTGTGACTCCTGATCTGGTGGATGCCTTCCACCGCTGCCACCGCTGAGAACGCCCAACAGCTCGCTGTTTATACATACGACGACACAAAAAGAAAAAAAAAAGTAGTTAATCAATATATGGAAAATCATATTTGCTAGTAGATATCTAACATAGAAATAGTACTACTGGTGATCCGTAAGCAATTTTTCCGATCATTAATTTTATTATGATTAGTTTTACGAGTTACTTGAGTTTAATTAAGAGATGACACAGGAGGAAAAAGAAGATATACATATATATATAAAAAAAGAAAGGAATGAATGAACTGAATAATTAAAGCTCACCACAATCCTTTTGGTTCTTGACTTGGGTGACAGCGCCTCTATCCCTCCAGTTTATGTTGGCTGGCACGTCTGAGGTCCTCACGTTCCCGTACATGAAGCCACTACCTCCAATTACAGGCGTGCTAAACGGCCTACCGTAGTACTCCGCGAACTCTTCGTTTGTCAGGTCGGCGAACTTGTTGGTCGTCAGCCGGGGGCTCTTCTTGCCTCCTGCAGCATTAAACGAATCGATGAACAGGGCGTTGGTCCTGAATACCTCGAATCGCCGCGCCTTCTCCAGGGAGTCCTTGTACGTGCGCCCATGGTCCGCCGCCCACTTCTCGTACCTCTCCCTCATCGCGCTGTCGTCGCCGCCGCCGGCAGCAGCCGGCCCCTTGCGAGCTGCCTCCACCAAACCCGTGGGGCAGCAGTACATGATGATGATGAGGAGGATAGCAGCAAGTGAAAACGACGACGACGCGATAGCCATGTCTTAAGTACAGTAATATATTTAATTAGTACACTGGTGCAGTTGATTGTTTCAGAGTTGAGTAGAGCACCAGACTCCTCTATGCGCTTACAATGTTTGAGTTGTTACTAGCTAACCAGGTAACCTAGCCAGTTGCTCACTTGCTCATTGTCCTCTTCTTCTCTAGGCTGCTGGTCGGTTTTATAGAACCTCAACCTGCAGTGTCACCGTCTCGATAGACTGCGTCCTCATTTTGCCTGGTCGCTACTGAGGATTGAGGATACTAATCTAGTCCCAAATTAACGTTATTGCATGAACGCGGTCTAATTAAATAGAAATAAAAGTTTTTAAAGGTTACAATTTAATTTCCCATCAAATGTTCAATTTGACACATAAATTATTGCAAAATATATATTTTACTTCATGTTAGATTGAATTTGATCTTGCATTTAAGCAGTATGTAACACAAAAAAACCCATCTAAGTAAATATGTTCTTTGACAATAAATAGTTCTTGTCTTTAGAAACCTATACCCGTATAAAAAGATACGCAAGAATTCTGGTGAAAATTTCCGTCCATCCTCACCTTTTTTTTTCGTAACATCCTGAGTCCAACGCGGGTAAAAATTATCCAGAGTCCGCATTAAATAACACAAAATTTAAACTAGTTCGTGTTACACCAGGAGAAACAACATACGAAAATTGGTCACAAAATTTCCTCGAATTAAATCCCAAATACAAGAATTCACTACAAGAATCCGCAATTTTCTTGGTGGCGAAGTGATTTCTTTGGTGGCCAAAAAACGGCTGCCAAGTTTGTACATATTCTTTGCGATTATGACCGAAAAGGTTACTTCTCTTGGCCGCCAAGTCTAGAAAGTTTCATTGTTGCCAAGTAAAGGTATATTCTTGTCGGTCCAAACCGACAAGGTTACTTTTCTTGGCGCTTTCGAAAGTGGGCAATCTTCTTAATTTGCTTGGCGGTTCGACCGCCCAGAAGGCATTTCCTTACGGTTAAGCGCCAAGAAATTGTAACATTCCTAGCTTTCTAGAGTTGGCGGTCGGCCGACGGAATAATTAACCTTGGTGGTTTTTGACCGCCAAGAAAATTACGGTTTTTTGTAGTGATTGAAGAATGACAATTGAAGAAAATACCCAAATCGAACAAAAATCCAGCCATCGGACCTCGCCGGACGCCGGAGACACGAGCGGCATGAGTTTGCCATCGTCGAGCTTAAGTCGCCGCTGCTGCCTTCGAGCTGCCACCACCGCCTCCCAAGGCCAGATCCAGCAAGGAGGGGGCACAGAGTGGCTGCCGATGGTGGCTCGATTGAGCCGTGCCATTGCCGCCCGTCGCCGCCTCCCAAGGCCAGACCTGATGAGCCTCAGACCAGATCTAGTGAGGAGCGGGGTGGCGGTAGCACCCCAACGAGGAGGAAATGAGTCGATAGTGGGGTGAGGGGAGGGAAGGGGGATGGGGAGCGGCGGAGAGGGAGTGGTGATGCCTATGGGGATAGGGGAGTTGAGGGGGAGAGGCACCACCGGTGGGGACAGGTGGCCGGCGGTGATGGGAGGGGAGGGGAAGATGTGAAACTAGGGTTAGGGTTTTTGGGCACCGTCGGTTTCGACTTATTCTGAACCGATCCAAGTCGTCCGTTAAAACGAATGGCTCATACCGATCCAGCGTTGAGCAGGCCTCCATCGCCGGGCCAAAGCACTCTTGGGCTGCATGCACTTCATTCATTGCGCACGATAATGCCCTTGCAGTTTATGAGAACTTTCTTTCTATCTTTAGGAATATATTTTCTTAAAGAGTTCATATCATGAAAACCTAAACCCTACTCATCTAATATATTTATATTTGTTATAATTTTAGTTTACCCATTGGAACGCACAGGCATTTTTTCTATATACCAAAAAAGTTCAGTTTTGCTAACAAGTTGATATATTTCTCAATCAAAATCAGTAATTTTCGTAATGAGAAACACAACTACATGCGAAAAGTAACTTTAGCATGCGGTCAGTAATGCAGTCCGCATGCAAAAATGATAATTGCAAAAAAAGAAAAAGAAAATGTCAAAACCCTAGCTCAAATCTGCCTTAGCTGCAATGGTTGTCGTTGAGACCCCGCTACACCCGAGGACGGCGGTTGAGGATCTGCCCCTCCCTGGACCGGGGCAGCTGGATCCGCTGCTAGGTGGCTTGCCGCTCTCGTTTTCGTCACCAGACCTACGAGGGAGGCCAATGGTGGTAGATCCACCCCTCGTGAGGCTGTCGCCCCCAGATCCGTGAGGGAGAAGGCCGGCAGCGCCAGATCCGTGAGGAAGAAGGCCGCTGCCGCCGAATCCACAAGGGAGAAGGCCGGCAACGCCGGATCCCTGACGGGGCCTACTGCTCCCGAGGTGGCAGAGATGCCCTGAGGAGGTGATGTTGTCGAAGCACGCCGCTGCCGCCGTGGATGCGTGCCTCCTTTGCCGGCTTCCTCCCGTGCCGCTGGACCCCTCGCTATCGTCGCTGCAATCTACCAACCTCCTCGCGTGCCTTTGCCGGCTTGTACAGTAGGAGAGGAAGGGGATGATGAGAGGAGGAGAGAGTAAGAGAGAGGGAGAGGGAGCGGAGGATGAGCCATCGTCGTCGTTGCTCGTCTGATGGCATTGGATCCACCCGCTGTCATCGCCCTAGCCACCGCCGCTCCCATCACCACTGTCGTCGCGACGTCATTCCTGGAGACTACGGGCAGTGGAGGAAGGGATGAAAAAGGGGGCACTGGAGGAGGGGTGATGAGAGGATAGAAGGGAGGAGGAAAGGGGGGTGAGGAGATTTTTTAAGTAGATAAGAGAGGAGATAAAAGAAGAGGGAGTGGGGACAGGCCAACCGCTGGCCTGGTGCCAGGCAAGCCTCCTAACAGGACCGCTTGCGAAAATAACTATTTTCATTATTTTCGCTGGCGATCATTATTTTCGCAGGTGGTCCTATTAGAAGGACCGTCTATAGAAATTGATTTTTGCAAACGGACATTGTCCTAAATATTGCAATTGATTTTTATTTGAAATAAATGAAGAAATATCATGAACATAATAATACTTGAACAATTTATTGATTACATTATTTGAAAATGACTTTTTTCTACATATTCATGGTAAATACATAATGTCCCTTTTTCAGAAAGGAATTTCAATTGAGTACTTTATAGTTTAGTAATTTATTGTACACCATATTCACTTTACTTTCAGCTATGTTCATATTAGTTCTTCTTACACAGGCCTGCATCATTTTTATTGAGCAATACTCGCTTTCTTTCATATTATAAGTCACTTTGGATTTGTGCTTAGTCAAACATCTTCCAGTTTGACATAGTAAATAAATTTAATGAGACTAATTTGTTATTGTAGATATTTCTATATTTTTCTATAAACATGATCAAATTTGAATAGGTTTGACTTAGGACAGAACCAAAGTGACTTATTTAATATGAAATGAAGTAGTTACTTTTAACATCGTACCTCGATTCCTAAAATCCTGCATCGGGGTAGTTCGAGTGGATAGTGCTGAAGGGTAGTGCGTAGGAGTGAGAGGATATTAAATTTCCCTTTAGACCTACTCAGTCCATATAATCGAGTCCATATTCCCTCTCTTAAATTTAGAAAGTTTCTATGATCAAAATAAATTAAAAGAAGAGGCAATGCTCCAATATTCCCTCTCCAAGAGCCTCCTCTTATCTCCGCTAGGAGAATCTTTGGTGTCACTTGCTTTGCCTGGAAGAGTATCATGATACATTCCTTGCAAGTTTCTCATGCCTGTAGGGAGTCATCCTTGCAGCTTTAACAATTTGATCACTTTTAACCACATCGAGTCCTCCACCGGCTACTGAGTAGTCCAAATACGAAGTGCTTATCTCTAGCTGTTTGGTGTACATTGTGGTATGAGTAATGTAAAGAGGACACTTTTGTGAGGTTGCAACATTGTGAATTTGACACTTCTGTAAGGTTGCAACTGTTTTGACCTCTTGTTCTGACTATCCGACAAATCCATTAGAGGTTGTATGTCTGATGTGTGATTCCTCTCTATCAATATTTGCAGCAGCTGATGAGAAATGCGGACGCGTTCTTCAGTCATAGTTCGTGATGTGTCAATGTCTAGATTAATTCCGATACGGCAAGGTACGTATACTTTGACAAGCCACCAGTGCCTTTGTGCATCACAAAAATTGATGTTCCTTGCAGCTTGGACAATTTATAACTTTAATCTATATGTATTCTCTTTCAAAGTTCTTATCTCTAGCCGTTTGCTGTACGCTGGGGCACGCGTAAATGTAAAGCTGACACTTTTGTACGGGTTGCAAGTTACAACCTTCTGTTCCAACCTCATTCTGAGTCCGACAATTTGTACGCTGGCTATAAGTGTGATGTGCTAATTATCCATATATATTCGCATTAGTTGTTGAAAAATACGAACCGGTTCTTCGGTGGTTGTTCTCTTGACGCGTCAATGTCTAGATTGCAAAACGATAAGATATACCAAGACATGGCACTGTGCCTTCGCGTATCGGAAAAGTTGATGCTTCTCACGGCTTTGATAATTTGGTAAATTTCTTTCTCTCAAAAAAAAGATAATTTGATCACTCTTCTATCCAAATCAAGTGCCCTCTCCCCAATGCCGGCTGGTACACGTAACATTTATTCACTTTCTAAGTGCTATGTTTAGGGGGTGTTTAGATCCAGGGGTGTAAAGTTTTAGCGTGTCACACCGAGTATTGTATAGGGTGTTCGGGCACTAATAAAAAAACTAATTATAGAATCCGACAGTAAACCGTGAGATGAATTTATAAGCCTAATTAATCTACCATTAGCAAATATTTACTGTAGTACCACAGTGTGAAATCATGGAGCAATTAGGCTTAAAAGATTCGTCCCGTAAATTATCCGCAATATGTGCAATTAGTTATTTTTTAACCTATATTAAATACTTTATGCAGGTGTTCAAACGTGATATGGTATAAATTTTTTATGTGTGAACTAAACAAGGCCTTAGCCGTTTGGTGTACGCTAGGGTGTGAGTGTAATGCAAAGATGATACGGATCGAGTACTTTTGTAAGCTTGCAACATTCTGTTCCGACCTCCTGTTTCTGACTCACCGACAAATCCTGCAGATATTGTATGTGTGATGTGATTCTTAT